CAAATGAAATGCATTCAGAGCATTTTGAAAGTAATTAGATTGTTTCCAGCTTTGTGTAAAATGTATTGCTAAAAACTCTCACCTATTAAAAATAAATGTTAAATAATAATAAAAAATAATAATAAATGTTAAGTGCACACTTAAAACTTGGGAAATGAAAAAGTGAGGTACAGTCTTGAACCCACTTGTTACCAAAAGTAAACCCACCACGTTCCCAATTACTGAGCAAGGACAAGTTACTGACAGCAACAAAAATGGAAATTTAAAGATTTCAGCAAACACCTTCTGCGGCTGTGGGGTGGCCACAGTTCTGAGTGAAGGGGCTTGGGTTTTTTCAGCAGTAACAGTCACTGAAGCCTCACGTGGAAATTACCTTAGAATCAAACTGCTTATCATAGAGGATTAGAAGCATTTTGAATAATCTGATTCTCATTAAAAGAACAAAAAATTAGAAGAGCCAAAGGTTTTTTTTTTTTTAATCAAGATACACAAACACTTTTAAGCATATTGTCTCATCTTTCTCCCCCTATTTTTTCTGTGTATTAATACAAACGTGAGTTTAAAATACATACGTAGGGCCTCCCTGGTGGCACAGGTATTAAAAGTCACAGCACTATCAAGCTACCAGCAGCCGCTGCAGCACGAGTTCGATCCCCGTCCAGGGAGTGACCCACGTGGCGCAGCAGACCTCTCCTGTCTCCCTGCTGCTCCCCTCAGCAGGGAGCTTGAAACTCTTCTAACCCTCTATGATAAACTGTCTGATTCTAAGGTAACTTCCATGTGAGGCTTCAGTGACTGTTACTGCTGAAAAACCCAAGCCCCTTCACTCAGACCTGCGGCTCCAAGTGCTCCCATGGATCCGCCTTTTCCGTTCTACTCCCTATTGTCTCTGGTGAATCCTCTCACCATCCCCCCTCACCTCTGACCTGTTCCCCAGTTCCTGTATGCAAAAGTAAATCTTGAAAAAATGCATAAATACACTCATTCTGGGGGCAGGGTGCCCCACAGCACCAGGGTAACAAGACACGGGGCTTCAGGCTGTTGTCTTGTCTTTAGCACACACTTCTCCAACCCCAAGAAAACATTAACAATGGTGACTTCTAGCTTTTAACACTTCCTTTAACTTTTTTGTACACCAAAAATGACTTTTGGTGAACGGTATTACAGGATTTATTATAGTTTTCTCCAGTTATACCAGCACCTTCTATTGAATAACCCATCATGGCCAGAATAATTTTTAAAAGTTGTCCTTAACATATCCTGTTTTTCTGAACTATTTTTCATCAACCTATTTTTATACCAATGTGAAAATGTCATTTATTGCACTTTTAAAAAAAATATTACTTGTTCTTTGATATAGCAAGTTCCTTTTTATCCTTTCAATGAAGATTTTTCTTATTTTCATTTATATTTAAAAATACTCTTTGGCATTTGAATTGGCTTTGCAGTGAATTTACATGTTAACTCAAGAACCAACAAGGTTACAATGGTCAAAATGTTCCTGTTCCAAGAGCTCACAGCCTGTGCGCCTCTCCTCACGCCTCTCAGCTTCCCACCTCAAAGGAGACAGGATTCTGAGTGTTAATTCTCCAGTAGCTTCACAGTTTTATTACTGATGAACATCCTGAGTTTTTTTGTGTTTTAACTTTCTATAAAGGTACCTAAGGAGGCTATTCTTTTCCAGACTTGCTTTTCCCTAAACAGGATCTGTGATGTGCAAAGATCCACACAGCCTGCCCAGCCCTCACTTTGTAGATGACTCTCCTTCCCTCCTGCTTGGTATAAATAACACCATTGAGGAAAAAGCCAATACTGTACAAAAATGAACAATGATGTAAAATACATTTAAATTTAAAAAGATTAAAAGAATAGAAAATTGAAATAACGCCATTGTGGCCATTCCTATATGCGACTCCTAGGGATCACCATCTAGTATGAGTTTCTCTAAGAGCATACATCCTGCCTGAGACATACCTGTGTTCAGCATCACTAAAAAAGAAAAAAAAAAACCTCTTTTCCAAAGTGGTAGCACCAAACAGCAACATAAGATGTTCTTGTCATGTCTCCAGTTGTTGCTATTTTCTCTTTGGCTGCTGCCATTTTGGTGACTTATGAATTATGACTATTACATAAGCTGTTCCCATCTCTTTTGTGACTTGCCTGTTCATTTTGCCCATTTTTCTCCTGAGTTTTTTTTTAATTATTGATTTGTATTCAGTAACTGTTAGTGCACACGTCATCTATATGTATGGTAAAAAAAATAGTATTTGGTATAGTAAGGTTAGCACAAAATGAATGTCTCACACTTCCTATTTTGTTCACAGCAGTCTTCCTTTCCCCAAACTCATGAAAATATTCTTTGATACAGGTTTACTAGTTTTTATGTTAATTTTCCTATGTAACTTTAATTGGCTTTTGTGTATGGTGCAAGGTAGAAATCCAACATATATTTTTTTCTGTTGTCAAGAATTACAGGTGCCCAATTCATTAAATAATTCATTCTTTTCCTCACTGATCTGCAATGATTGCCTTTGTAAAAATCCAGTTCCTCTAATGAATTGGTTAGTCCCAAGCTCGATTCCTTTTTTGTTTATCCACTTGTCATCTTTGTACCAATTCCTCATTGTTTTAATCACTATACTTGATAGTGAACTTTAAAACCTGGATGTGCTAGTCCCACTCATATTTCTTTCATTCTTTAGGAAGGTGCTGGAATCCTTGGTCCTTTGCTCTTCCATTTACATTTTAGAATCAACTGGTCAAGTAACCACAGGATTTTTTATTAATCTATTAACCAATTCAGAGAAAGAGTTCAGACTCAGATAACAATGAGTCTTCTCATCCATCATGGTCTCTCCATTTATTCAGGTCAGTTTTTTTTTAATTAAAATTTTCTCATTAAAAGGTTCATACATCTTTTAGTAAGTTATCCCTAGGTACTTATTTCATACCTACAGTAAACTGTATTTCTTAATTACATTAAAAAATTTTTAACTATTACTGCTTATAACTGGTGCATAAAAATATAACTGGCATTTACATATTGACATGTTCTAGCAACATTTATAAACTCTTAAAGTCTTGCAACTTGCTTTGTAAATTCTTAGGATTTTCATAGACAATATGATCATATGACATGAACCCATAAATACAGGAAGCCATTGAAAACAACTGATTTTTTTCATTTTCATTTTTTTTCATGTAAGCCAATTTGCAATCCTGGATAAATCCAATTTGGTCATCACTTTAATATTGTTAGATTTGACTTGCAAAAAAATGTTTATTTTCTTATTGAAAGGTGTAAGTTTATCTCTGTGTATATATAGCATACCTTATTTATGCATGAGTATTTCTCCATGAGGCCAAACTTATCAATTGTTCTATTTAAATCTCGTATGCCTGTGACAATGACTTTGTCTTCTGCATGACCTATTAATAAAGGAGGTGTTGACTGTCCATCACACTGGTAGACTATGTCTCCTTCTACTTGTGGCCACTTACTTATTTTGAGGTATTTAATCACTTTGGTGTGTGACTAAAATGGTAAGTTTAGAACTGTTATATTCTTTTGGTAAACTAAGTCTTTGTCTTATGTAGAGGTCCCCTACACTAGTAGTTTGGGGGGGCAGGGGAGGCAGCGAGGGTTCAATATAGGGACCCTCGAGCTTCAGAAAAATGCCTTACCCAGGCACTCACTAGTTAAGAGATTCCAACTTCTGTTCTCTGAGTTTACATGTGATATTCTTTCTACTCTATTTTTAAAAGTCAAATGCTTTTGAATTTTGGGTTAGAAACAGGCTAAGAAACAAACTGCACAAGAAAGAGTGGCTCTAGTAGAAACGCTTTGTAGTCAGTAAAGCAATTTTGCTAAAAGAAGGGAGAGCACTTAAATAGCCCCTACTTGGCTTAAAACCAAAGGCTGAAGGAAACTGTCAGGTGGTTTAAATGCAGAGAAAAAGAAAAGCTAAAGCCGCTGAATCCTGCTGTGTGTGGTAATGAAAAAGTAGACGCGGCCACAATGCAACTTAGGCAACAACACAGAGAAGCGGCATTCCGAGAACAGTGTCGGAAAGAACATTCCAGAGAGACAGCGAGAGGAACTAAATTCATCGAGTACGATTACAAAATACCGAGGGGCCTTTACTAATTTCACAGCAAGAAAACACAAAGGGTTATTATTTTTTTTTAAAGCATGTTAGTCAAAAAAAAAAAAAAAAAGAAAAGAAAAACCTAAGTCAGAAACTTTTGATTAAATGTCCACAATATACCAGGGTTTTACAAAAGAAAACTATGCACGCAGAAATATACACGTATGTACAAGGAACATGGAATGCTATACACACGGCAGCCTGCTCTTTAGCGGCGGGGGTCGGGCCCCACGCTCACCGAGGCCCGCCGGAGCGCTGTCCTTTAAGGACACAGTGAATGTGTCATGAACAAAATCCTATGTTCTGTTTATAACAAGTTCCAGTGAATCAGGCATGAACATAACAAGGCCAAGGTTATCTGTACAAGATTTATTTCGTTAGCCACAATGTTTTAGTGATGGTATAGACTAATACAGAAGGAGTGACTCAAAATCCATTGAGAGTTCAAAGTCAGAGATAAGTCAGTGGCTTTGAATCCCAGGTCAGTAAGTCTCATCCACCACCTTGGGTTACTAACAGCGCTGATGTACAGAACACCCTGCTCTAAGAGGCACAGTCTGTCCAGCAAACAAGCACACCAGCAGCTAGGCTTCACTGCTCCATCTTAGTCTGCTGTGCTAGTGGGTGGCAAAAGCCTCCCAACTGCATTTTACTCCCATTTTCGTGAACATTCCTGCTTCTAGCCATCACTTCCCATGACTTCACATTTGAGTATTTCTCTTGAAATACAGCAAGGCCGTTCAACTAACAGGACTAATGAGGGCAACGACATTACCATGTCTAAAATCTACCCTTTGAAGAGAATAGCCAGTGTACTGCATTTAGTATATATCACAACATTGAAATGACATGTGAGAATCAATACAAAATATTTATTTTTTCAAACCACAGAATTCACCCCAGAGCCACACTATACACGTCCGGAAAGTGTAAGCCATTAACATTTTCCTTAACAATGCGGTCCAACCAGAAATGATGACAACTTCCGACCAGCAGGGGGCAGTGTGCGCCAGAGTCCCAGAAGAATGGCCCTCTGAGCAGGAGCCCTTAAGGTCTCTCCAGTCATGGGCAAACGCAGGCCCAGTCCAAGTACCTGTGCCCCTTCTGCTGAAAGAGGCCCCATTGAGGGTTGGGGACAGTGGAGATGGGGAAGTGTCAATGACTCAGCTAACAAACAGCCAGGACAGAAGAAGAATCATTTCCATTGGGAAAGAACAGGGGTCACGTGTCCTGGAGGCCAGAACCCAGGGCCATTTCAGCAAGGTGATAAAAGTAACAGGAGTGTGAACTCTATTTAACTTCGATAAATGTGAACTTCATGTTACACAATATGACTAAAAACAGTAATCACAACAAGAGGCCCTAGAAACCTCTTACAGGTCTCAGTCACATTCTGATCTTAAATTTTAACGTTGCCTTAAGAGGCCCAGACCTGGATTAAAGTAAACATAATACCCTGAGCTAAGAAGCTCAACACGAATCATTATTTTTAAAAAATCAAAACATTCTAACAATGACTGGTTAGCTAATGTAGGTCTTTAGTTTTGCTTTAAAGTTGTAAAGTCTTTATTACCTCAGATTAGTGTATATTTATAAAACAAAGTTTGCTTATTTTAATAACAGCTGCTTATTAAACAAATGAATGTAGCTCAAGGGCATTGCCGCTTGCATAATGATCATGGAAACAATTAACTGCAATAAAACAAAAAAACGCATCAGAAAATACAGCCAGCCTCACTACGATGAGCGCATCTGAAAGGCCTGCTCCGGAATCAGGTGTGCCAGCTACCTGGACAGGCACGCGCCTGCGCAGTCAGGACCGCAGAAGCCGGCGGGCGGTCAGCCGCAGCGGGTGTTCCCAAGCTGGCGCTCAGGCCCTGCCCGTTTCCTGCGTTTTCCTCTTGTGCTAAGAACCTTTCGAATCCCTTGTTCGGACGGTCCAGAATTGGAGGTGATGCGCGTGCAAACTCTTCCTGAGGAATTCTTTGTGTGTGCAAATGTGCAATCCGATAGAAAGCATGGCCTGCAGCAGGTGGCAGCTCCGAGGGAGGCTGACCAAGGCGCCCATTCTGCAGTTTCACTCAGACATCACTTTTCATCCGGAAACCCTGAAGGAGGGGAGGGGGCTGCCTCAAACTTGTAAAGGGGAGAGGAACAAACTTAATAATGCAAACTCTCGGCTTCTGCTAAGTCTACCTAAGAACTACCGGTTAGCCAGATGCTACCCCAGGTGTGGCTTTCTGCCCCACAGAAAACAAAAACACAGTTCCCACCGGTGAGGGCACAGCTGTGACCATGGGACAAGAGCTGACACTGACTGAAGCTTAAGGCAACTGCCAGAGAGGTATGCCACTCTCGCAATTACCCCTCTGCCGACAGTCCCATTTGGTGAGCAGTCTGGCTTCCTCTGGAGGCTCTCGTGTGGGGCCGCAGGCAGTGTCAGGTCTGCCCAGCACCTCAGACGAAGGAGACAATCAACCTGCAGAAGGTACATTCTGTCTCTGATGATGTGGGCCCCTCAAAAGCCAATATTAAACTGAGGTGGAGAAACTAGACAAGGTATTGGCAAGTAGAATACAAACAAACAGGAGAAGAAAAATACTTCCTGGCAAGTAGTGTTTAGTCAACACAAAATGGAAGGCAAATCTCACTTAAGCTGCAAACTAAGAATGTTGGTAAGCGTTCCGATCAAACAGGAAAGGTTCACTTCCAATTGAAAGAAAGGTTGTGGTCACACCGCCAGGTGCCTCCTGGGCCAGGAAGAGGACAGCCGGGCTGCGCGCGGAAAGAGCCCTGTGTCCTTCCCAACCAGCCTCGCAATACCAACCCCAGGCCCGATGCTGGCTGTAGTCGCTGTACAAAGATTTAGAGCAACTCCATTTTGCAGACTTCACTTTGCCTGCTTTTTGTTAACACATACATACTATGACAAAAATAAAATATTTCTCCATTACGCTAATAATGCAAAAGCATCCAAAGGTTTTAATGCCAATTCACATAATACAACGCTTTTTATAAGGAAAGTTCTGTTGTTGGCCCAAAAAATACTCTCTCCCAGAAAAAGCACTTGGATATATTATAAGGATACTGAAAAGTCCATTCACGCTTAAAGAAATGTTCCAATTTTATTCCTCTTGGAAAAATTAAAAGTTAAAGGAGACTTCAGTTGCAGATACTATTCATAAGCCTGCAGCAAGCATTCCATTGAGAAGAGTAAATTTAGATTCCATGATGAAGTGGAATTCTTCCGTGATTGACACCAGAGTATGACTGGTGCGGCAAATCCAAACACACAGGGCAGGTGAGAGCCTGTATGATCAGCCCAGCAGTTCGTGCTCATCAACACAATCCGAGATGCTGAGTGGAAGGAGTACAATGCAAAGTCCTCCAAAACTCTGCCAACTGGAGCTGTTAAGTACTTAAGAAAATAAATCTGACATCCTTCCATTTGCCTCTCTGAACAGTAACTCCCAAACGGAGGCCTTGTGTTAGATGAGGACCTGCTCCCGCTATCACACGTCCACCTCTCCCATCTACCCTCAGTCTCCCCACAGGACAAACCGAGCAGCAGGGCAGAAGCGGGGCACAGCGCTCCTAGTCATCCCTTGGCCCTGGGTCCTCAGGAGAGTAAAATCCGAGTAAAATCCGACGTTACCAAAGAGAGTCAAGCACATGCCCAATTTAGATTCAAGCAAAGTTGAGAAGAAACATATTTCTCTCCTGTCACACCTTCCTATTTTGCTTTGCCTGTCAAAAACAACTAGAATAAGCTTCAGAGCCTTTTATAAAGAACTAAATAAGTAGCACTGTGGGTGTAGAAAAACAGAAAATCCAGCTTTGCCACAGCTGGAAGGGAGCCTAGAACAGCAGTGCTCGCTCCCTGTCACCTCAGATAAGGTACGTGAAAGATGCGGCCTGCAGACTCGGAAGTACGTATCTCACCCACTGGGAAGGAAGTGGATCAGGAATCCCTCACCACTGATTCTATTTGGAAATCATAACCGTATCTGCTTCCTACAGCATCACAGGAACCAGTCTTACTGCTGGGTCGTGCTCAACTGGGTTAAAGGAGCGCTCCCGCTCAGGACCCGTCTCCCCACACCAGGCCACGGGAGCAGCTGGTGAGGTCCCTCGTCCCTCCCGCCACTTGACAGTCCCCGCGTGAGCAGACACAGGGCTCGGGGAAGCAGGATCTGACCGGCCTGCTGCACGTTTCCACTGTCCCCAGGTGGCGGGCTGCTGACACCCGACACAGCGGGGGCCAGTCTGCAAGGCCATCAGCTTTCTCGGGAAGCCTTTATGAGTCTGACAACATGGTCACAGGGTTGCAAAGTGCACAAAGCTCAAGGCACAGAGTAGAAAAACGTTGTGAACAGATGGGGAAAGGTTAGGGCGAAAGCAGAGTTAGCATTTTCTTTTAACAAGACTCGCTAATGCTAAACAAAGACCAACTCTTTTAAATGGATTTGTTTTGGTTATGAGTGGAAAATACTGTAACAATCGGCTTGATTTTAAAGCAAAAGATACCATGATGTGTGGAACCCATATGCCAAAGTGCCAAGTCCACAAACGAACAAAACAAGTGCTTAAAAAAAAGATTCTTCTGCTGTTCTATTTTGGGAGGAAGCTGCTCAGTTTGGCTGCCAGGTCTCACTTAGCCACGGTCACTTTTCAAGACATTTGTTCCTCACAGAATCTGTAGATAAACTCATTAAAAGATTGTCCCATTTCAAAATCATCCCCAAGTCTAGCAGCAACTGACTGGTTTTGTTTTTTTTTTTTGTTTTTTTTTTGTTAGTTTTTTTGTTTTTTAAAATTACAAACCAAAGTATGAAGTCCAACATCCTCTTCTGAGAAAAGCGTGTGGCAGAGCCCCTGAGCGCCCGCAGGCCCCGCTCTGCCCAGTCTCTGCAGCTCCAGTGTGTCCTCTCTTCAGGAAGGAAAGTACATGCAATACATTCACTATCTGTACCCTCTGGAACTCGCACATGCTGACGGGCTGTCTGGAAAACAGTGCAACAAGAAAGTCTGAATAGCAGGCAGCAGCTGACAACGGGCGCAATCTGTCTGCCTAACACATATTCTCAGCCCTCTCCTCACCCCCCAAAGGGAGATACCGGGGGCAGAAAGGCAAATCCTCAAAACCACATGGCGTTAAGGGAAATGCAAGGGGGCTAAATGAGGAACCGAAGCAGGGCTGCTCCCACTCTGACAGGAGCCCAGGACACCCAGTTAGGTTCCTGACAACAACCTGAGCGCCGGCCGTCAGGGCGGCCACGCGGCGCCGAGCCGGCCACACGCAGCGCCTCGCAGGCGCAGTGCGCACAGGGGACGCTCCCCACAGCGAGCACTGGAGCACCAGCACGCTCATCTGCACAGTCACCGCCAGTAACTGCTTCAATCACAAAACCACCAAAAAAACGTCAAGGAGCATCGCTACTTACTGTAAGCCAACTCTTCTCCAGCTCTCTTCCGGGACTGGTCACCTCTAGGGATAAGAAAAGAGAGTCAGCGAAAGTGTCTGGCCTCTTCACATACCAAATGAGAAGAAATGAGCTGGTAACAGATAACAGAAGTATAGCAGGTATTTCAATTCTAACAACCCATTTAAAAATATCCGAGCAGGTACAACCTGGATGCACCAGTGAATATTCTCTTAATTTTTTTTTTTATAATTTTTTTTTTAAAGATTTATTTATTTGTGCATACATAAGTGGGGGACAGGCCAGAGGCTCAAGGGCGGTGAGAGGCTTCACCAGAGACAGAGTGGGGAACAGAACAGGCAGATCGACGAAGTCCACTGCTGAGGGGAGCCGCGGGCGGGTCAGGAGAGGTCTGCCACGCCATGTGGTCACCTCCGGGGCAGGCGGGGATCGAACTCATGCGGAAGTGGCTTTAGCTTCTCCGTGCTGTGCTTTAACCCGCTGCACCACCAGGGAGGGCCGAATATTCTATCTCTTAAATACAGAAAGTTACTAAATGAAGGAGAAGAGTATCTACAAATATAGTTTGGAGAAATAGGCTCAGACTAATATGTTGTTATAGAAAAACCTGATTTCGTTATCAGTATCTCTGGTGACCTGCATATACCAGGGCAAATTTCAAATAGAAAAATTAAAAATCTTCCTCTAAAAGCCCTAAAAGGAGACTAAAGCTACACCGTCTTTGAAAAACCACAGACTCACTGTAGATGAATACCTGTCTGCAGGTAGAAGAACATGAACCTTTACACTATACTACCCAGCTCATCTTCTAACACCAGAGAAAAAAGTTCTAGTTCTGTTCTAAAGACAAGCAAGGTCTGCCCAGATCCTAGGCTACCTGAAAAGTCTGTTCTAGTCTCTTCAGTTTCTCAGAGAGAATGCAGTTAGAGTGACTACAATGCGAACTGACTATCCTTTCCCTACTGGTGCTCGTAGAGTACATATTACATGGTTGATCTGTTCCTAACTGAAACACTTTTGGTTTTGCTCAACACTCTCTCTTCAGCTACTCTGTCTTATCCAGGACACAGGTCCCACAAGCTGTGCAACCTGAAACATCGTCCATATGTCTGGGGCTCCCAGATTTATTCTATTTCCAGCCCTGGCTTCTCCCTACACTCAGACCTGTAGGGCCAGCTGCCCGTCACCACTATGCCTGGGTGACCTACATGTGCTGCGAAGGTCCAAGGCCACAATGCTGACTCCACTCCGCGCCCACTCTCCCACTCTTCCTCAATAAATGGCACCAGCGCCCACCCACTTACTCCAGGTTAACTCTTAGCTCATCTTTGATTTCTGTTTTTTCCCTCACTCTGGAGCATTCTGTCTCCAAACAATCAACTCTACAGCTACCACCTTGATCCAAGCCACTGTCATCTCATCCTCCATAACTCTATCAGTCCAGACAAGAGCCTGGGTGATGTTACATAAAGACCAAATTATTTCTTGCCTCTGATTAATAAGTCTTTCGGTGGCTTTCATTACAGCTAGAAGTCAATCAAAATTCATTTCCCAGGCCATGAGCTATGCCTCCCGCCTACTTCACCCTTATCTCCTACTTTAGTTCACGGAACGTCAGTTGTGCTGGTTTCTGTCTGTGCCACGGACATGCCGGCACTGTTGTGCTTACTGCCTTCTCAGCCTGTGGCACCCTTCCCCTCAAAGAGCCACAGGGACGGCCCCTCACACCACACATCACCGGAGTGACTCTGCCTCAGAAGGCATCACATCACCAAGGGACAGGGAACGGCCCCAAACACGTGGCCAGACTTCCACTCTCTTCATAACACTGGGTATTGTTGGAAATTATTTGTTCAAATGTTTATTATTTATCTCCAGACACTGGAGCATAAGCTCCCTAAAGAACTAGGAACCGTAACTGTCTCACTCCCTCCTGTATCTAGGACTATCTTGTACATGGTAGGCAGTAACTACTAGCTACATAACAAGTGAGTGAAAAATAGCCTCTACATATGGATTATTAAATGCTGGTCCAAGTAATTACTTCCTGCTTTTGAATAATCTTTCAGAATACCAAAGTTTCTCATTTTCTCTCTCTGGTTACATTCATGACAAGGACAAACACCTCTTGCTAAAGCAAGGCAAGAAGTCTCAGTGACTGGCAGAAAGAGAATCCCCGAATGGCCTCTCGGGGTTCCCCTAGGCTGAGCATTCACAGGAAAACCTGCCTATTTACCGGGAACCAGCCTCAGGCAGCCTAAGGAGCTGGAAACAGAGCCGCCCTGAGGCTCTTCTCCCAGTCACTGACCTGCAAAGCCAGCTGATCATCTCGTGTTATTATTTACTAGTATCCACATGAACTGACATTCTCCAAACATGAAACCAGTAATGCTGATCAGAAGAGAAGATATAGGATTTCATATCTGGGACCTCAAATTGTATAGACAACCTTCATTCTTACCCTGCAAAGGTTAAACAAAGACTGAACATGCGAAAACGCCTGTGAAAAGAGCAGGCAGGAAGAAAAAGTGATGCATTACTTACACATGTAAGTAATAGATGCGTACAGCTAATGCCACATGTCTAGAAAGCTATTAACTGACCTCAAAACCAGAGCCCTGCTGGTAAATAAACAAGTACCAATTCTAGAGTGACCCTCTCAGCTAAAAGAGCAACAAACCCCTACATGATTCTATTTTGTTGCAGAAACTCAGGTAACTATATTCAGAACACATTTGCCTTTGGAAATGACTTAGCACACCCTGACGAGGACCCCCGACTGGTCTGAACGGGGATGGTTCACTAGTAAACACGATAGACTTTCCCAAATAAGCTTACCTTTAGTAAGGGAATCTTGGCAACAACAGAAACCAACCTCTTGCCTGTCCCCCACCCCTCAATAAGCCATTTAATTATGCAGGGTAAGAAGAAAATATTGCTCGTAGTTTACATATCAATTCTAGCTTTGAAACAAGCCCACATTATATTAATATTTCCATGCACCTAAAGATGTTTAAGATGAACTCCAGCTCGAATAAGAATCTGTCCATCAACTGTGCAAGAGTAGGTGACCCACCCCACAGCTGGCCCAGTCTGGTAGAAGGGGCACTCACCCTCATCTTGTAACAGGGCAGGGGAGAATATCTGACAATATTCACATATCACTTCAATTAATGACTCACTCTGTGCCATCTACATTAAATTTGTCTGCTGCCTATTCAGGGCTCCCTACAGCACAAACACAGAAGATAACCTTAAATGAAACAACAGTTTGTGAGTCTGAACAGCAATCCTATGATTAGGCATAAACCATAAAATGAACTTCACAATTAGCACAGCCAGTCAGAGTCTCTGTTACACAGTTTGGACTACATTCTCAATTTTTGCTTGGATCAGTGGACATCTCCAAATAATCCAGCCTGAGGCAGGCTGAGAATCCATGTGCAGGAGTCAGCTCAGGCAGACCTTCTCTCTGCTACTGAGATTGTACAGGGTGGTCCCCAGGAAAAGGGGAAGTTCCAGGGTCCCTTCCCCACCCAGAAGGAGGGAGTCTGAAGAAGGCAGCAGGACGCAGAGCCAGGAGACATGAGGAAGCAATGTGGAGCAGGGAGCATGTGATGAAGAAACTGTGCTTGTTTCTTGGCCCTGTGGTTGAAAGAGATGTGGGTGACAGACCCGTGGGGAGGTTGACCATGGCAGTGTTTATACTGATTTTGATTATGTTCTTTTCCTCCCAGACCCGTCTGGCTATGTCTGACCCTTTTCTGTGGGTTCCAGCCAGAAGGTGCTTTAGGTTTGTGGTGGGCTTGCAGGCCTTGCTTTGGGCCAATCCCTTTTGGGTGGACTTTGACCCACGAGGGGATGGGTAACTTCAGGTGTCTGATTTAGAAATTACACTCTTTGTCTTCTGTACTGTATACTCACTCTATTAAAGTTCCTTTCCATTAAAGCTCTTATGTCTTGTCCTGATGCAGCGGATGGCAGAACCTATTTAGAGCAGGCAGGTTTGAGGGTTCAGGAGGGGCCCTCTCTCTCCCTGCCCTGTTACAAGATGAGGGTGAGTGACCCCTTCTACCAGACTGGGCCAGCTGTGCAGTGGATCAGCGAATATGAGAAAGTCACCTTAGGTAAGGCCCAGTGTGTGCAAAGTATCCATCAGAATAACTAAGGACTTAATTCTCATAGTAAATGTTTAAATTGCTCATTTAATTCCCATTGCGAACCACAAAATTTTTCTATCATTTATGTCGGTTGAAAATATGTACTTTGCAAGATGCTCTGGGATAAGGACATCACACTACATTGCAAGTCTTAGAAAAATTAGCCAAGGAAGAAAAATGTAAGTGAATAGAACTATCCTCCTTTTTAAGAAGAAAAAACTAGAACTTAGGGCAAAAGTGAAAATATGAAAAACAGAATCTTAAGTCTCTTTATTGTTTAGTCATAAAATTAGTTATTATTTGCCACTTTAGTCAGAAGAGCACATTATAATTGACCATAAAGGTCGCACATCATTTTTTCCCCAATGTTCAGTGCTAATATGAGAAGATCAAAATTGGAAAAGCTCGGGCCCTCCCTGGTGGCGCAGTGGGTTAAAGCACAGCACTAAGGAAGCCGTCTGCAACCTCTTTAGCATGATCCCGAGCCAGCGGGATGACCCACAGGGCGCAGCAGACCTCTCCTGACCCGCCCGCTGCTCCCCTCAGCAGTGTACTTCGTCGATCTGCCTGTTCTGCTCCCCACTCTGTCTCTGGTGAATCCTCTCACCCTCCGCATCTCTGGTCTGTACCCCAGTTCTGTACGAATAAATAAATAAATCTTTAAAAAAAAATTGGATGTAGGGCCCTCCCTGGTGGCGCAGCGGGTTAAAGCACTGCACTAAGAAGCTGAAGCCACTTCCGCATGAGTTCGATTCCCGCCTGCCCCGGAGGTGACCACATGGCGTGGCAGACCTCTCCTGACCCGCCCGCTGCTCCCCTCAGCAGCGTACTTCGTCGATCTGCCTGTTCTGCTCCCACTCTGTCTCTGGTGAAGTCTTTCACCACCCCTGAGTCTCTGGCCTGTAGCCCAGTTCTGTATGCACAAATAAATCTTTAAAAAAAAAAAAAATGGATGTAAAATAAAAAAAAAAAATGGAAAAGCTCTTGGAGGCTGGTCAGCCTAAGTGCTCAAGAAATCCCTTCTTTATGACCCGCTCGCGAAGAGCAGCCCCCCGACATCGAGGCCCAGCGGCCCCCTGCAGCACTCCACGTGTGGAGTTGCTAAACTCCCACCCCCACCAGCGAGCCAAATGGGCAGAGGGATGGACGGCTCAGCCACCAGAGGAAGGACACTTGCCTCGTGAACCCGTTCTGTATGAGTTCTCTTTGAAGTTTCTGATCTTGAGCAGCATATTCAGAAAGTTCGGATTCCACCGCCGGAGGGAGAATGTTTGGAATAAATTTAGAAAATAGGGTTGGAGCCATCTGAACCCACTCTGTAAGGGAAGGAAAAGATTCATTAAGGAAATCATACAGACTAACTGAATTAAGTGGAAAGGGAAAGCCTTCTATTGTCCAAAGAACAAAAACATACATCAAACGAAACTTAAAATGGGGAAAAAACGAGTGTAATCCCATTCTGCTAAGAGGATGAAAAGGCTAAATTTCTTTCTGCAAAGAATGTACAGTATAAAGAAATCAGATATTTTACATTCTACTGGTTTAACAAAATTTAATCAAAGTCCTTAGAGAATTTTTGAATAAATCTTACTGAAAAATCTAAATATAGATGAAAACACGAACAAGATAAGCAAGGATCTCTGAGTGGGAGAGAAGGGATTCTGCAGAAATACGGCCCTACTAAGCATTAACTAAAACAATTTCATGGTCAAAGAACAGAACAGAACAGGCAGTTCAGACTTAAAAAAAAAAAAAAAAAGTACCACGAAAACCTGGGGAGGATCGACAGTGAACACGGAGTAAGTGGACCAGAGATTAACCGGCAAATACTTTTGAAGTAACAATCCACTGTTCCTAGTATTAAGTTATAACAGCCCAAGAATATGTAACAATAAAAGATAACTGAATAGTTATCAAAAATTAAGATTAGTGACCCAAAGAGTACTCTGTAAAAAAAAAAAACAACATGATCTATCAAATAAGTGAAGTCTACACTAAAGATCTGTATCAGACACAACAAAGATGATCATCTTTATGCTAAACTATTTTTATCAAATTAGTAAGACCAGATAAATGAGACAGGACTGACTAATTCACAAGAAATAAAGTAACAGCCCTGTTAGCACTCAGAAAAACTCGCACCAGCATAAACACACTTCCCTCCACTCGGTGAATGCTGCGTGCAAACAACATGTTCCTGCACCCCCCACACCCTGACCCCACCCCAGCCGTGGCTTGCTGAAGCCACGCTGTCCTTGTGGTAGCGGGTCTGAAAAAGCAGGGTCACCCCTTTTGATTCTGATCAGATCCTTTCAAATGCTGTCTTTTGGAAAATATCTTACGTTTGTATCAGGACCCACCAACTGTCAACGCCCGAATCTGGTGAGCTCATCTTAAAAACTAATCTGAGTAAATAATTCTAAGTTTGAAAAAGCCCAGTTTAACACCGTACAAGGCTGGAATCCGGGTTAAGTACAAAAGCATAAAGTCAAACACTGCCCAGCAGCGCGTGCGCTGCCACCTATCAAGGCAGCGCCGGGGGCTGCGGGCCAGGGAGCGCGGGAGGAGCAGGCCCACCGTTTACCGTGGTCACTCAGAGCCGTTTTCATCATGCAGGAAAATGAAAATTCAAAATTCTACAAAAATCAGCTTATTGGACACATACAATATTTCTGCTGTGTTATAGAACAACTTTATGCAAATAATTTGTCCCAAAAAATATGAAGAGAGCACCATGCCTGATCCAACTCAAATGTTAAAGTTGATGCTCTACAAATCACTAATCATTTACAAAAGGCTGAGGAAAAAGATTTCTTACACCATAGTCTAACTCATGTGCCAATTTTACACTTTACCAAGCCAAATTCTGACACAGCTTTTAAATAAATCATCAATGACCTGAAATAACCACTCTCTGGATAACTTAACAGTTTATAACAGTTTATAACCTGATTATGCTAACAGGTACTGTGTTAATTCTCTATTTAATCTTCAAATGACCAAAGAATTGCACAGAAAGGGAATTACTATCAAAAATTATCCCCTGTGTTTCCACAATTAGGAAGGATACACACAAAGCATCTGGGATTCCTTTAAATTCCCGCTGTTATTCTAAAATTGCTATGGTGAGTTAAGTTGCAAACCGTGCCTTTGAATATAGTGATCTCTGACTTCTGGTTCTGCTATTATAACTTCTCAAACTATTCTTAATCCTTCTACATTCCCTGCAAATTACGTAACAAACGTAAAAAGTGCTGAGGTGTAAATGTGTGTTGGTGCACACATGCAGCCTGGGGCAGAAGTGGGAGATTCCAGAGAGGGAGGCAGCGGTTAGACGTGACCCCGAATGTGTCTCCTACAAGCTGTTTCTTTTATTTCCCAACTACCTGGTTTACATGAGGAGAGAACCAGGCAGTCCTGCGTTGACATTTCACAATGATGAATACCTATCTACTTGACTTTACGGCTGTAGCAAATCCTAATACCACTACACACTAGAAAACAGAGGGATAAGGCTGGAAACACACAAACAACTGCAACCCCCAAGGAAAAGATGAATGTTTACCTGGTCTGAGAGTATACAGGCCTTTCACAATATTTGCCATAGTTGAAGGTGTGACCTGAAATGGTGTTGACTGGGCTTCTAGAAGTAAAGCTGAAATATGAAGAGAAAATGGGTTATAAAAATGATCTAACGTTTACTGTCAAGGTTTCGCTATTATTATTTCTCCCAAAGGCTAAAGGGCAAGCAAGTGCAAGAAAAGAACAGCACAGGAGGAAAAATAAGAGTTTATATTCTCAAAAGTTGTTTTTTTCTTAATTCAATCCAGAAGCTTCATCAAACAAGTGACTGTGCAATTCTGCTGAAACTAATGGAATGATACTTTTCACAGAAGTTCTGAAAATAAGTAAAGCTTTCTAAAAGCAATAGTGTTCATGGACTTAGTGAGCCAAAAGAATGCTTCCCATTAAGTTTGTGATTCAAAAGAAATTCATTTGGGGAATGAAGTGTTCTCTAGAATTTGAAAGAAACCCCCTCAGTCATCCCTCTTTCCCCTAAATCACCATAGTTGAGGCTGGCAGAACTTTCTGAAAGATGCATTGCTAGTAATTTTAGTAACTGTGATCAGTCAGAAACCCACTTTCCCAAATGCCACAGGTACGTGTACTTTTTCTTCTCACTAAAGGTAAAAGCTAGAGATCACACAGGCTCACCTGGCTCACTCCAGCACTCTGGTGACCACGTGATTGACTGCAAGTGACAACAGTCATCGACTGCCACACAACAAACTTACTAAAATATTTCAAGTGGGTACAGTAATTTTTCTAGGTAACAACAGACACAAAACCATTTTTAATTTCTCTAAGGTAAGCATTTTATTAACCAAAAATTTTTATAATTTTAACTCTAAGTCAGGCTTATTAAACTGTGCAAACTGAATTTCTTTGGTAAATGTCTTTTTTAACTGAAACACCATCTTGCTTAGCCAACAATGATTTTACACTTTCAAAAATACATTGTGAATTACACCTAAGTTTATATCACAAAGGTCATTCAAGTTAATTCTTCCGATTTTAGCACTGGTAGACAGTTATTTTGAATGGCATAAATTTTAAGAATGATCAGTTAAGCATTTCAGATCAACAAAATATTTTAAAATGCAGTGTTTAAAAATTGAAATTCTAAATGTTTCTGAGAGTCGCTTCTCAAGGTTCTCCCAAATTTCAACGTGTGCCCCAAATCCAGGGTCTCCATTAATCCCTCTTCCTTCTTTTTGGCCATTCATTTGGTTTTCAGTTAAGTCTTGTTCCACTAACTCTTCAGTTTCAACCACACAGTTATTACTGGGTCAGGTATTCACATTTGTAAAAACCCTTAAATTAAATTTACAGATTATTCACAAAATATGTATTAGTTTGGGATGAATTAGCTGAAAATGACAATTGTGAAAGATTACTAGAGTTGAAAAGGTGTAACATTTCACTAAAATCTTCTCCACCCTTTTTAGGAAAACAAGAGATTTCTTGTTGATCTATTTTAAGGAAAAAGAAATGGGAGTGGGGATATGGTGCTTGAGAGAAAAAAGAAAGTGTGTATTCAGTATTCAACCCTACTGTGTTTACATCTCCTAAGCTTTAGTGAAGATTTACCTTCTGGCAAACTATTATTTACCTTTCTGTTTTTCAGATAAGGGAACTGAAGCTCAAAACAAAACAAAAATACAGAACTAGCAAGTACAGAAAGGGTCAAAAAACTTGTGTTTCACTCAAAACTCTGCATTTTTTCTACTCCACCAGCCATGACTGAAAGGCTAATCTTACATGTAAAGAGCTCCAAAGTGTTACCGTCAGGAACAGTTTTCTTCCAAAAACAGCAACTTTGTTTTCTTCCAAAAACTGTTAATTTCAAGAAGAATCCCCAACCATCCCACTGACTCTTAACTGTAAATCAATAGTTTTAAAGCTACACCAGAACCTTACAGAACTTCTAGTGCACACCTTTTTCTTTACAGATTATGAATGAAAGTTTTGAAATGCCTTGCTGAAAGTCACTTGGCTTTTTAATAGTGGAACTGGGACCAGCACTAAGCTCCTCTGCAATAGGAAGTCTGGAAATCAAAAGTGATGTTAAAATTAGGCCCTCCCTGGTGGTGCAGCTGGTTAAAGCACTGCACTAAGAAGCTTAAGCCACTTCTGCATGAGTTTGGTTCCTGCCTGCCCCAGAGGAGATCCACAGGGCGCGGCAGACCTCTCCTGACCCTCCTGCTGATCCTCTCAGCAGTGTACTTCGTTGATCTGCCTGTTCTGCTCCCCACTCCTCTTACCCTCCTCATCACTGGCCTGTATCCCAGTTCTATATGAATAAATAAATAAATCCTTAAAAAAAAATCAAACTAAGGTCTAAGTAAAAAGCAGACAACACCTGCTAAGGCTAAGAACTGAAATGAAAACCCTCCACGCAACCCGACCGGTAAACTTCCACTGCCACTCAGCATACCACATTTCTCTGGATGCATCTACCATTAACCGACCCATTCTGTCACGTGCGCAGAACCCTCAATACTGTATTACATATACCATGATAAATCCAAATTCTAGTACTTCTGTTTTTCAAAGTTAAATGTATAGTAAGAATTGATTTCAAAGGAAAACAATTTTACTGCCAGCCAGAAGTAGAATCCACCTAACTGCAAAAACAAACCTATGAAAACAAGTAAACCAAGGAAAGAAAAAGTTTTATGTGCAGTGAGAAGGCACCGTCCTCATTCCTGAACCACCTGGTGGGAAGGGGCCTTTGAGCACCAATCAGTTACGAGCAGAGAGGGCATCCATTTTGTTCGGCTCTATGGCTTTAACACGTGGCCCTCAAATACTTCTGGCACACCTCCCACTGCGAAGTGTGCCCCCCATGTCTGCCTCCTTGGAATCTGAGCTCTGTGGCTGTCTGTCCAACGGGATAGAACAAAAGTAACACCATGCCAACTTCTGGGCTCAGTTTCCACACAAGATAGTTTGCTGACTACCAGAGGAAACACAAGAGAGGGGCCACAGTGGGCACAACTTGCCAGCTGCTCAAACGAGCCATTGTGAGTGTCTCTCCCCCCCCCATCCCAGTCAAGTCTCAACGCTAGAAAACAGAGGCAGCCCCTGAACCCTGCCCAACTAGCAGATTTGCAGTCAAATAAATAAATAGCTGTTGTGAGCTACTGTGCTTTGGGGGGCGGGGAGGGGGGGTAACACAGCAGTAATAACTGAGCACAACATTCCGAGCAGGTCTGAAGAAGGAAATGACTAATTGGATATTAGAAAGTCAAGAGGCTACCTACTGGGAGGCGGCAGGGGTCCAGGAAGAGAAGGGGGAAGCACTGAACTCCACACTGTATTCTGCATACTTAACCCTCTAGGCTGCCACAGCAAACATTCTCAAAGCCTGAGAGGGCAAGGGCTGAGAGTTTTGCCAAAGATAATCAGTAAATGAAAGAGCCAGTCAAGACAAGGATTTTCCCACTAAAGAATCAAAACTAGAGCATTCTATACTACAGTTCCACAGATAGAACACTGAGCTCCTTCTAGGGCTAGGGCTATTAGTAGCAAAGTTAGGAGTTAACCTCCCAATATTTCCCTCGTCATCAGAAAAAAACCAAAACCGGGGAGCCAGGATCAGGCCAGGCATGAATACAGCGTCCAGTGCTCTGGAAGCTGCACTGCCCCCAGTTCGCTGGGGACCTTCAAGTCCCATTTCAGTTGTTCAGCGTCTCTGTAGAGTTGGGCCTCAGCTCCACTTGCGGTATGAATCAAGAGCTGACGACACCCACCGGGTGGAGCTGCCAACACGCCCTGACCACGGTGAGTGTGCCCGGGTCCTCAGTCCCGCCAGAAGCTGATTACTCACGCATCAGACTGCAGATGTGCTTTTCTGCGACATGTTCCGTAAACAGCTTTATGAGGTCATCTTTTAAATCTCTGTTAAGCTTGGTTTCGATGTAAAACTTATTCTGAAAGAGAATAAATTATTTTCAGTGTATCAACGAGGGAAAATTAAATCTACTGAACCACTAAAAGGTACTTTAAGACAATATTAAGGTGTTGACTAGAGCATATGCATCAAATAACGAAGATGCCGCCTGTCAGTTGCGTTTCTCTGGCATGGGAATAGAAGCACACAAAGTCAGAACGCCGTGAACCACACATTTCCAGAAGAACACTGGAAGACACCTAATTTCTGGAGCTTTATTACAGGAGATAATTACATTTTGGATTGAATTAGCTAGACAGGGATGTATAAACACAGGAGCTGTGAACAGGCAATTAATACACTTTTTTTAAAGATTTATTTATTTATTCAGACAGAACTGGGGTACAGGCCAGAGATGCGGAGGGTGAGAGGCTTCACCAGAGACAGGGCGGGGAGCAGAACAGGCAGATCGAAGAAGTACACTGCTGAGGGGAGCAGCGGACAGGTCAGGAGAGGTCTGCCTCACCATGTGGATCTCCTCCAGGGCAGGAACTCATGAGGAAGTAGCTTAAGCTTCTTAGTGCAGTGCTTTTAACCCTCTGCACCACCAGGGAGGGCCCAATCAATACACTTTTTAAAGACACTACCAATCAGGCCTCCCTGGTGGTGCAGGGGTTAAAGTCCCAGTACAATGGAGCTCTCCAGCCACTGCAAAGAGTTGAATCCCCCACAGGGAGCTGACCCACACAGAGCTGCAAACCTCTCCTGTCTCCCCACTGTTCCCCTCAGCAGCGTATTTCATTAGATCCACCTGTCCTGCTCCCCACTCTGTCTCTGGTGAATCCTCTCACCCTCCCATACCCCAGTTCTTGTATGCATCAATAAATAAGATCTTTATAACAAACAAAAAAAAACACTACCAAATCTACAGGAAACAGTACCAGAAGGCACCCCCACCTGTCACATTCCTGGCTGGCAGCAGGCAGTGGGCTGGCATGAATGACATGAATGACAGCCTCCATTCCCAGCCCACAGCCCTGACATGAATACTTAGCTGATGGTGTTCCCTAGAGGCCACCTCTAGGGGCAAAGGTACACACATGACCCAATGTAGCTCCGTAAGACAGAAAGAAACCTGGGATCGAGTCATTTATAATCGTTTTTCATAGAACCAAGAGGAGCACAGGATGAACAGGTGCTGGGAACAGTACAGAGCAGCAAAGGGGCAGCTGAGGCCCTGGTGACGCTGCAGGGCTGCCGTCCCCCAGCCCTGGGGGAGCCCACCTTCTTTCTGGAGGTTTATCACAAGAGAAAATACTTTTTTATTAAATCTCTTTGAATCAAAGCTTTCAGTTTCTTGCAGGCAAGAACATCTTGATTAGAATAACTCCAAGTCAAGACACTGAATTTGTTCATGTTTAGATGTTAACTCAGTGCGTAGTAGCTGCTGATTCTCCTCATTTTTAACATAGCTTTTTTTCCTTTTAAGAAGGTCATAAAAATAACATGCACAAGCTAACGAAATAAAGCCATGCCGATCCAAGTCTCGCACGGCAGCCCTCCGGTCCCACCCCATGGCCCTGCTCTACACTGGGGAACATTTATATGCTCCTCAGTGTGGCTCGCATACCTGTAGGTAGACTTTCTTTTTTTCCAGTAAAGAAGAAAATACTTGCTAATGAAGAAATGTTACACTGCTTTGCACCTTGCTTTTTTACCCAATGTTGTAACTTGAGAAGACCTTTTTCTCTGATAGCAGACAGCCTATTTTTCTATATCTTTCATGAATTATTAAATGAGTAGTCTCCTGCTAATAAAATAGATTTCCCCAATATATTCTGCTATTAAAAACAATGCTGCATAATTCTTATGCAAATATATTACGAGCTTTATATTTATGAGCTTATTTGTATAACTTCTGAGAGGTAGAATTTCTGACAAAAAGCTTGGTTTTTAATCCTGAAAAATGCCAGAAAGTCTTCCAAACATGTTTTACCCATTTGCACGCCCTTATATTTCCTTACAGATCCCTACAGAGTGTGAGAGGCTTGTTTCTCTAGAGCCACCAGAATTGGTGATTTTATCCACTTTCAATTTCACCAACAAAGACATTAAAAGTTATTTTCATTTTACAGATCTTTAAGATGTTGAGTGTATTTTCATGTTTATAAGCCATCTGTATTTTTTTGTGTGACCTACCCATATCTTTTTGGCCATTTTTTCAACAAAATTAGGGTTGTTGATCTTTTTCAAATAACCAAGGAAAGTGTCTCTCTTGTTTTGCAAACTTATTGCAATTTTTTCCTACCTACTTTTGGTGGGGGGAAATCCTTCTTCTATTACTGTGACTACAAAGGATATTTTACTGAGTATAGGTTAATATTCTAAACTATTTTAAGAAATAAACTTTCCCAAAAAGCAGTGCCAAAGTTCAAGATATTTCCATTTTCTGGACAATGAGAACAATTAATAATTTTCACAAATAACTAGAAATGAGATTCAAGCTCTTAATCTATGGAAGTAGTTAAGTTGCATTTTATGACCTAAGATGCTTTAACTGTGAAAAAATAAATCTGATGTTGGTTTATTTTTAAATGACAGCAAATTTTTAAACTTTGGGATCTTACCATAAAATTTAAAAAAGCAACAAGCCTCTACAGAAAATGAATCACTTTCTTCTTTTAAAAAAAAAATCTAATTTTTATTTTTTTATAACAGTTTATTTTTACATCATTTTGTACATTTTTTTTTTCCATCTCAATTGTAATCCCCACGGGTTTTAATCTAATTTTAAAAAGATTATTTTTTTTTCAATAAAGTCTGTCGGTGGAGAGGAGCTGGAGAGGACGTCACTTTGGGTATCACATCTGCTTATTCAGGAAATAGATCAGAGGAAATATCCCACTCCTTAAACTAATATACGAAGGACTGGCACAGTGCCTTCTAGGGCCTCCCCTCAAATGAAACAGATTCTGTGACTTTATACACTTAAGAGTGGGAGAAGGGCTTCCAATGAACTCAAGAATCTATAAAGTATATATAAAGTATACTCATGGCACATGCCCCCAAAGAAAATCAATCAGAATGAAAGCATGTTTTATTCTTTGTTTTTTTTTAAATTATTATTCTTTGTTTTATGGAATGATTTACTCAGCATTTATCATATATATTTTTTGATACAGGTCTCAACGTTCTACTTTCTGAGGACAGGACACGATTTTTTTTTAAAGATGTATTTATTTATGCATACAGAAGTGGGGTACAAGCCAGAGGTGCAGGAACGATGAGAGGATTCACCAGAGACAGAGTGGGGAGTAGAACAGACAGCTTGAGGAAGTACACTGCTAAGAGGAACAGCAGGCAGGTCAGGAGAAGTCTGCTGTGCTGTGTGGGTCACCTCGGGGTGGGGATTGAATTCGTACTGAAGCAGCTGTGGCTAACTTGAAGTACTGCATCCTAACCCACTGCACCACCAGGGAGGACCCAGGAAACTATTCTTAACATACCTTTTCTTTCCCAAGTACAGGACCATGCACAGATGGCAGAGATGACCTAAATGTTCACTGGGTGACTGCTATTGAGCAATGTTACTAGTGGAATTTTCAAATAGCAAAAGAATAAATAGTTTTTTCATGTCAACAACATCAAACATTACTGAAATAGACTGCTTCGAACATAAAACACACAGCCCAAGAAAAATTGGCATCCATTGATGCTTATCAACACCCCTGGGTATCTGGGAGCTGGAGATAGTTCTGACTTACCATATATATGAAAAGAGGCACAATGCTCTGCAATGCTCCCATATATTGCCCAAGAGCTATATTAAATCTTTCAATATAGAGATCTGGAGGGCTGGCCTGTGGAAAAAAACATAAATGTAATCATTCTGGGAAACAAGATACAAAGATCTTCACTCACAACCTAAAATGCAAGCAGTCTTTAACAGAAGGAATCCATAATCCACATTGAAATTCAGAGAGGGAGGAGGTTTCCGCCATCCTTAGGTTTAGTTAGGCTGCCTACTTTGTTCCCAAAGCTGCTATACAAATCTGAGGTTTGACTCAGCCGTCTTTGAAAACCATACCACTAAAGAGTAAGAGGGTGAATTCACAATTAAGATAAATGATACAATTTTTAAAATCATCATTGAATTACAATGGACCCGGATAAGGAACAGGGTTAATATACTATTTAAATAGCCATTGAATTTTTAGAATTATCTTAAGCACAATAATGTTCTGAGTTCTATACTAACATGGTTGTAAATGGATACCATTTACATCAATGGGTACCATTTCTACAAGCAACTGTAAGCAATATTTACTGGCTAGAGAGTCAGGGCTAAAATGATCCATATATATCTGCAGTTCTGGAGAGCAGTAAAATTCCCCTAATACATGGCTGGCACTTATGTCACTGTTACCAAATTCCAAGTCACAAAGCCATCAAAAGAAAACACTTGCAATTTTATTGCATGTAAGGGACTAAACCTATATGAACATCCCAAATTTTTAGACTGAAGCTCGAACCCCCAGAGCAGCTGTATTTGGAGTAAGGAAATAGTTAAACAAGGTAAGAAGAGTAAGGCCCTCATCCTACACGTAAGTGCCCTCACAGAGAGAGACAGCAGAGAGCTTCTCCCACACAGGACACGGGCCAATAGAGTGAGGAAGAGCCCTTGCCAGAAACCTCTCAGACCTCCCAGCCTCTAGGACTATGGAAATAAGTTTCTGTTGTTTAAACCACCTGGTTTGTGGCAACCCAACTAGAGTAAGACAAGTTATTTTTACAAAAATACATTCAGGTAAAAGTATTTCTTTTCATAAAAAAAAATACTAAATGTATGAGACTAAATGTCTCATAAAGCCAAATTAGTTATCACTTTAACACTGAAGAAACATAGAAATAGGCAAGTAATGTGTCTAAAATTAAGAATATTTGGAAATAATAAATCAGTACATGCAGAGAGAACTGACTCCACGCCAGGATTTACTCGCTGCAATCTCGTGCCATGGCAGGCGCATCGTATATACGAGAAATGCTTTCCAATACGAATATAAGGAAAACCCACGCTAAAGGATTCCTAAATATGAAATTTCTATATACGACACCATAAAACCACTTAAGTTCCAGAAGTGCCGCATGTTCCAATGCTATTCTGAAGTAAGAGTCCACTGGCTGTTCCCAGCCCTCCTGGCCGCTCACAGCGCGAGAAGTGACCCCCCGCCCACTCGCCGTGCGCACCAGCACCCGCAGGTTTGGAGCGTGCTAGGTGCTCTCTTTAATTTATGTGTCTTAGTCCTCCTGATTGCCAGCTGAACTTAATCTCTACTTCACAAGAGGCAACTGGAGCTCATACATAGTCACTTGACTTCTAGTCCCACAGAGAGTAAGCCCAAGAACTGAGGCTCAAACCCAGGCCAATCTGAGTCCTTCCATCCATTTACATTCTTTCTACAGCGCTGAAACTGGTGGGGAAAAGTTCAAACTTCCAATTCAAGGCACCCAACTGCATCGCCACCATCACCACCTGCTCGCCCACACGAGCAGCCCAGCACAGTGGTCAGAAGGGCCAGTGGTTCCCAAAGAGCAGCGGAGCAGCGCAGCAGCAGGTGGGCCGCAGCCTCCCGGATACAGGCGCTACCTGAAGGTTGGAGCCCGTTCTCGAGGGCCTCAACTTGGCTAATTCTCCTATTCATCCTGCAAAATGGGTGGTGTGCTGTCTCAAAACCCGCAGAGACAGCAGAGCGCCAGCACCACTGCACCTCACACGTCTCCCACTGGGTGTTGTCCTGTGTCTGCATAACCCCAGCGCGGGCCAGGACGGTCTTGTTTCAAACGCAGTCTGCTTTAAATCTAAGTTATCTAAGTGATTTCACTGCTAACAAGGCTTTAAGGCATCAGGCAATTCATTTCAACCCCCATATCTAAAATAGTAAAAATGTTAATGCTGTATCTAATCGCTGAGAACCAAAAAAAATAATGTGTAAGTGCTGTAGAAAATGCCCACATACACGCATAGTAACTAGTAAGAGTAAGCAAGCCTTCTGAATTAATCACCCATTAACACTACGCAGACATTTCCTATAAGAACCAACCTGTATCTGGACCTGGAAAAAACATTACAATTATTGAAGGCATTTTTTGTTACTTTAACAAATTCCTTATTAAAGGAACTGGGGGAAATGCTCCCACATTCTGGGCAACCTTTTAACTACAAAGCATGAACAGAATCACAAATAATACCTTTCTCTAAATGGTTTCAAAGAACTCTGGAATGATAAATTTGAGTATTCAAAGAAACAAGTTTCAAAGTGTTATATGAAAACCAGAAAAAAATCTGAAGGACTTTTGCATGAAAGTAATTCCTCCGTTCTTAAAATGATACTTTATCGTTCCCAAAGTTAAAAGCATGAGTATTGATTCAAAAGCACACTAACAGGAGACAGAATAAATAAAAGTGAGTCCCTTGGTTATTCTTTTCCAAGAATTCCCAAAGTCTCAAAGGTTATGAGTATTAAAAGTACCTTTTACATGGAATCAAATGTCAGAATTTCACTTAGTATTTCTGCTTCCACATTTCATGCAGCTCTTATTCCAGACACTGTAAGCAACGGGTCTATAAATCATAACAGTCTTATAAAATAAATCCAATCTTTTACTGGGAATCACTGTTATTAAAAAACTAATCAAACTGTCCCTCCTTAGAACTTAAATTCAGTAGACTTCGGGTCACTGGGGAAAATGTGACCTATTTGATTTATATCACTTCAATATTAAAGTGTTTGCCTTGGACAAAAAATGAAAAAAATTTTTCCCAGCTCCCCGGTAAATGAGGTATTTTTACCCTAAAATAAGCTTAATTTTCTTCTCAAACAAAACAAGGAAAAGCAAGCTGCCAGAAAAAGAACCATTGCTCCAACTTTTCGCAACAGACCTCCATCCCTGTAATAAAAGTTGGCAGGAATGTTTTCTTTCTTTCTTTTTTTAATAACTAATGCACTCATCTGGCTTAAGATTCAAATGAGTCCAAATGGATTTAGATTAAAGAATGCACCTGTCATTTCCTCCTGTGACCAACCAACATTTCATTTCTTTATATTCTTCCAGAAAAATTTTACGTATACCTAAGAAAGTCAGACATGCACCAAGATCTGTACTTCTTCCAAACAACCAATCTTGAGACTGTTTTATTCCTGTAGTTCTCAAGCATTTTGGCTCCAAGAACCCTTTAACTCTTGAAAATAACTGAAGACCCTTCCAAAAGTTTATTTTTTATAATGTGGGCTATATCTATCAATATTTACAATATCAGATTATAACACTAGAAATTAAAACTGGGTTTTAAAAATACATATTCATGCATTCTAAAATAACAAGTTCACTGCATTTTAACATCTTAATGTTAAATACAATTATGTATTTTATACTATAAACTATAGTTAGATATCAATAACTACATTTTTCGAAACAAAAAGAACTGGTAAAAAGAAAGGCATTATTGTTACATTTTTGCAAGTCTCTACAGCCTGGCTGAACAGCAGACAGCTGCATTCTCACATCTTCTGCAATGAACCAGTTCAACTGAAGAAAATCTAGCTTCAGATGGCTACAGACAAAAGGCGTATTTTAGTAGCCTTTTCAGATAACTGTGGCTACTGTGAAACTTGATGTGTGGTGGCTGCTTATAAAGGTTAGCTGCAACATGAGATCAGAAGCTATCAATGACTCTTACACCCTGCCCCACCGAGCCCCAGCCCCGGGCCTCTCCTACTCTGAATGGATCTTTCAATACGGTTTATGACATCATGAACTGGACATTCGGAAAATACTGCGTCACTGAGTTATGTCAATCTTCCAATGATGACACATTTCACTCTTCAACATCAAAGAAAATTAATTTTGCTAGTAGCACTATAAATCTCCCCAGAAGAGTGTTTACAAGTAAGTTCTAGGCAGCTATCAAGATCACAGTAGTAGATACAGGTTTCCAAAATTCTAATTTTCACTTCAACGCTCAAATTTTATCACTGGCAACATCTGCTGTCAGTTGCTCTCCTTTAAGTAACAAACATCATTCATTTTTTGAGAAAATACCTGTCAAATACCAAAGTCTAAATAGACAGATTTATCAGGCATTCTTTCAAATAAAGAGTGTTGTACAAGAGAAAAACTCCACTGAGCTAGCTCCAAACTTGTACAACTACTCAAGTGTTTTTTTTCCTCAAAACAATCACTGTACTTTGCTATGCAGCTCCCAGTTCTTAATATGGAATTCTTTTTTAAGTGTACTCAAAGTCACAATTAAGCAAAACTAGTTCCACTGTTTCGTCCAGGACATTTTTAAATGGCTTGTTTTTGTTTTATTTTCTGCTTTGAGGGTATAGGAAGAGTCATGCCAAGGCACCAACAGTTTTCCCCACATTTATTTTGTACCATCAGAGCAAAAGTCAACAGTGAGAAGCACAATTAGTATTATTAGTACCAGAAAAATGGTTTTGACTTTGCAGACTCCCTGGAAGGATTTTAAGAACACTCATTGATATCTGAAGCAAACTTACAGAAACTTAGTGTTATAAGTACAATGTTTGAATGCACAATCAATTTAAACTGGCCCCATATCAATAACTTGTTGCTGAATCTTGTGTTAGCACAGTGCTGCAATGAATAATGTCATAGGTATTCTTCTGTAGACAACACTCTAAAGTTAAATTCAACAAAGGTAAAACTCCATGATAATAGTACTACATTAAAAACAAAGTAATTTTTGCTATCTAAAATTTAAAAATTTTTAAAGACTCAACCTGCTAAGTATCTGTATTATTTACACACACACACACACACACAATACATTGCT